ATGGCTCAAGAGATTTCTTCAAGAACTTGGATTGCGACAAATGGAGTATGTTGTCTATTGCGACAGTCACAGTGCAATAGACCTGAGCAAAAACTCCATGTACCATGCGAGAACAAAACACATTGACGTCAAATATCATTGGATTCGTGAGCAAGTGGAGAACGAATCACTTCAAGTCAAAAAGATTCACACGAGTGAAAATCCTGCAGATATGTTGACCAAGATGGTACCAAGAGACAAGTTCGAGCTATGCAAAGAACTTGTCGGCATGCACTCAAACTAGAAGATAGTGCTACCTCCTCTAGATGAATGAGACTTGAGGGGGAGATTGATATGGTGTCCATCTCATTCAAATGATTTGGTAGCCAATTTTGTTGACTTGGTTTTGTTTGGTAGCCAACCTTGTTGAATTAGTATAATTTGGTAGCCAATTTTATTGACTTGGTTTAGTTTGGTAGCCAATCTTGTTGAAATTGTGAAAATGGTGTGCAAATTGTCAAATATTGTAGGCTTTAGAGAGTGAGGTTTTGGCTATAAGAGGAGAGCTTTAACTCTCATTTCTACACACCAACAAAGAGAGAAAAGAGAGAGAGCAAGGTATTCCATAAACTATAAGAAAATAATTTGTGAAGAAAAATAGAGTGTGAGAGATATCGTAGTGAGGTGGAAAAAGTAAAAAAGTGTTTATTTCTTTTGAGAGTGTAGTGGTCTTAGGAGTATTCGTACTCGTTACTACACAGTGTAAAATTCCTCGCTATAGTGATATCAGTTGCTCTTCTTGGCCGTGGTTTTTCCCTTATTCAGAAGGGTTTCCACGTAAAATCTTGGTGTCATTATTGCTGCATTTCTATTCTAGTTGATTTAACCATAACTTAGTGTTCTGTATTTATCACTAATACCGTGAATACTATTTTTACGGGGTTTATTCCCAACATAAATGTACAACCTACTTTAAACTAACTACCAAATAGCCAAAGAACTGGCAACTTATGAACACAAATTAACAAATCTGGAGAAAGAAGTTAGTTCCTCGAATCAATTTGGTCAGAACATTGATGATGAGAGTCCAAAACAAGCAGGGCGCAGAACAAAACTTCAATCAAGAAGATGTTCAGTGCATACAACGGTTCCTCATCAAACAAGTTGCATCACTTCTCACGGCTTCTGATCTTCCACTACTGGTGGACTATTGCACAGGAAGTGCGATAGAAGCAACCAATTTCAATTAGTGCGCTTTTCATTTCACCGGGCATTGGAAACTTGGATTTGTGATATATACTTATTCCGTTTGCCCTTCCAAAACAAACTCAACATGCAAATCCTTGATTGCAATCAGGACCGTAGTTATTAGTGGCCCCATTATAGCTCCCTGAATAACATACATCAAGAATAAATATCAAACATAATACCACTTTTAAAAGCAAAAGCATAAACTATAACTTGTGACAAAAGACTATGCAACAGCAAAGAGAAACGATATTCAAGGTGAATATTAAGGAAATGCACTTTCTAATTTTACTTGGGAAACTCATCTTTCTTTAGGTTTCCAGTTACCCTCTCTGGTTTGGCGAAACAGCAGAAACTATGCACATCTACTCTATGCAATTCAAATTTTCTATCTTTCTTTTGCTTCCTTTATAATTCTTCTTTGTATTTTCTGTCCCATTGGAGGCTATAAATTTTGTAAATTTTCTTATCAACCCCCTCCAATTACATTTCGTTTGAGCAATTGGGCATTTCAAGAGAAGTAAAGGTTTGATACTTTAATTTAACTATTACATTACTTGCTTTTCATCAAAATTCAAAAGCATGACTTATGTGTTGAAGTTAAGACTACTTCATCTCAGGTAACTCGAGGAGATTCGTGCTCCAAGGCCATCATGATTCTAGTTATGCATATAGAAACAAGTTTTTAATATAATTACCTCAACTGCTGAAGGGAACAATGTCATTCCACCAATAATGCTGAGACCAGTGAGATATGCACTATAGCCAGGGAAATCCTCTTGGATTTCAGATGTACCAAAATCCATAAGCACCAGATGAATAATAGATAAGCTAATGGCCAGCATATATCGACCTTCAAGCACCAACTGCAACGCTGCTGGAATAGTCGAAACCAATGAGGGGAAAATAGGAAACAAAGGACTAACGAACGCAAGGACAGTTGACATGTACAAAAAATGTATGGAAGATAATCTGAACAAGAGCCAAGTCAGGCATCCTTGAAAGAATGCAATCTCAGCAGTTGCTAAAAGAACCCCAGAAATAGCTTTATCAAGAACCTCAACAAAACGGGTTCTTGCAAAACGCGAAATGGGAAGCATACATATCACTTGTTCTGTTACTCCACCAGACTCCGTTGTGATAAGATAATAAAGTACCCAGAAAAACAAAATCAACTGAGATATAAAATTGACAAGCCCTGCAGCTCCTGAAACTATGGAATTCCCAATCAAGAACATGACCTTCACACTGCCACCTAAAACAGATTTGCTGCTAACAAGTACACGTCGAGCAAATCCTTTCGCCTTCTCAACCAAGTCTACTCTGGTGATCAGCAGTTCCCTGAAAATTGCATCCACTTCTGTGTATATTTGCCCCCATTCAAGATCCTTAATCCTCCTTTTTAGGCTCAACATTGGGGAGCGCGATGCCAAAGCTGTGGAACGTTCAAAAGAGTTATTCGCTGGGGTTATTACAAACTGTTTGATACCAGAAACAAACTCAGTCATATTATATTGCATAGCATAGCTATCTATTTGATCAAATACTGTTTGACACAACTGAGTACTGTACTTATCGACCATCTCTGGGACGTCGTGTTCGTCCATCCATATCCTGATGCCAATTTTCTCAGCATAGTTACTCTCTTCTACATGTGATTTCAATGCAAAAACTGCATCTTTCCCCTCCACTCCAACTTTGTAAGAGAAGAAAATCATACTGGCCAACGATCCTACAACCAATCCAACAATCAATCCAATAGCTACAATAGTCTTCAATCTTTTGAATATTCCTCTAGTAAAGAAAGCAGTAATAGGGAGTCTCCGAAAGCTATGACTCCTAAGAGATGTCACAGCATTAATAGTGGAGTCCACACTGTTATCTGTGAACATAAATCCCAATGCAAGAAGAGCTACTGCTCCAATACCACCAATTTGCTCATAGGTTATAACAAACACCCAAAACGACACGAGCCACCTCAACAATATAAAAAATCCACTTCTATGACGCCTTAAATCGTTCTGTTTCCGTCTCCTATGAACAACACTGAATGTCATATCTTTAATCTCAACAATGGTTCCAACAAAGACCCTGAATACAGCCACGGGGACGGCTAATATGGTCTCTGTAAGGCCTAGTTTTAGAGGTTCGGACCAGAATGCAACAAGGGCTTGCTGAATTCCCCTCAAAGGAATTGAACAGAGGACAGCCCATAAGAGAGGTCTCATATAATCTTGAAGCAATTTACCAACAGCATAAAGAATGAATAGTGTGAGGGCAATGCTAGCATGTGCCATGGCAATATAGAGCGCCTGGCGCACCTCAGGATTAGCTGACAAGGTATTGTGATTTGGGTGGTGGTGCATTGCGCCGTTTCTTGGGGGTGGTTGTGGAGGTTGTTGGTGATCAGGTGGTGGCTTCGGCTTCCTCATTGAGGCTAATACAGAAGCCAAACAAAATAATTGAGATACGCACAAACTGACTCGAACACTATAATTAAAGGAAAAATCAAGATTTCGAACGCAGGCCAGTCCCTTTAGGTGTTAAAATTCTCAAGAAGCTTTTGAAGAGAATTTGGCAAGAGGAGGTGTCTCAGAAATAAACTGACACAAATTGCAGAGTCAGGACTCAGGACTTGTGCTTCCTCAAATCTTGGAACTGACATTTTTGATTGACCATAAACGATCTCCATAGTATCCAATTTGAAATCAGGTCTCAGTTATTTAGGACCTCTCTTAGTTCTAACTTGTGAGCATAATATGATGATCCTTATGGTGCAATGACAAGTTACCCTTGGTTCTCCTTATGTTATGCCTAATTCTATGACTGACCAGAAGTTTTAAAATTCTAAAAAAATTGCATCCTAGCGTTATTACTATTTCTACTCTAAATTCTGAGACTTTTTTTTTTTTTGTCAATTCACATTCCATCTCTTTTTTCTCAGGTAAATGAAAATAGATTTTTCTGTTGATTGAAAAAGGAAAAAGAAAAAAAAAGACAAGACCGAAAACCTAAACCTGATAATTTTAAGTTAGGCTTACGAACTAAAATTGCACTTTTTATTTAATCTATATTTATATCTATCCATCTATCTATACATACATACATACATATATATATATATATATATATATATATATAGAGGCGGACCTACATGGTCACTACTGGGGTCACCGGAACCCGCTAGCTTCGGCAAAATCGTGTATATATATTTGTATATACATCAAGGACCCGCTAAATAATTTTAATGTGCCCCCTCAAACACAAAAGCTGGATAGCTGGGTTGGTTTAACATGCAACATTTGTTCCTCCCTCTCAAGATGACTAGAGTTCAAGGCCTTGCGCCAGCAGCAATGCTGCTAATTTTCATTTTATTGTTTTCCTCTTTGAATTCAAGGTAATTTAGTATTCTGCATTTAGTGCTCAATTTGGTTTTCTCTTTTTTATCTTTTCTGTGTTCAAAAATATTTTAGCATTAGTAAACATAGTGAACTTAGTTTAGCTTTTCCCTTTAAATCTCTCTCTCAAAAGCCTCAAATCATGCTTCTCTCCATGATTAATTCTTTAGAGCTTCTATATAAAATAGTCAAATTTTTTTTTGAGAAATGTCATTCAAGACGTTGGAAAAAGTAATAGAGAGACATAAAAGATTAAAGGAAATTGAGAGGGGAATAAAATATTCCATTAGCAAAGAAGCCAATTAAATTCTTTATCCTGATAGCTAAGTTTATAAGCATCATTTTTTTGACTTGTATTGAAATAAGTAATTCAACAAAATTTTCCCCCAAAAAGAGCAATCTCCAAAATGCTTCTGCCTTCAAAAATCACTTTGGCAAAGTAGCATACCTCCGTAAATTTAGCGATGACGATTGAGACTCTACTTGAACTACTTAATGAATATTTAATCTTGATTTTATTTGAGTAAGATTTTGATAATTTAAACGGAACAAAAACTCCCTCAACGTATTAGAAATGACTAAAAATTTCCTTCCTCCCACCGATTCATTCAAATTTGCCCTTAATGTTATTTTTAGGCTTAAAAATACCCCTCTTTTAAAATCTACAATAATCTTTCCTCCAGTGTGGATTTATAAAAGCTAGTGTAATTGTGAAACATAAGTAAGCAGTTTTTACTTTCTCCTTTTGCAGTAATCCATGGAATTTTTCATATACACAATAGAAACATCGTTTCTTGGCTGCAACAATGAGCAGATGAACTTGACAGTCATTTTGCTTTCGCCCGGTGACATAAACAAAAGCTTCGGTATTCCGACCCACTATCTCTTGTTTCAAGATTCTTATTTTCCTCATCTTTATTCCTTCCTTGATTTTCCATCAACATAATAGAACCAACCATACATTAAACACAATTTAACCAACACAACAACTGTCACAATCAAGCAACATTAATATTAGAACTAAAAAAGAAAATTGAAAGAATTGAAATCAGAAAATTAACTTAAATCAAAGAATTAAAAGAACTAAGACAAAGAATTAAAAGAATTAGTATCAAAACATTAGAAGAACTGAAATATACAAAAATTGAACTCAGAAAGCCGATGGAAAATCAAGGAAGGAAGAAGAAGAGGAAAGAACTCTATTTGGGACAAAAGAGGAGAAAATAATTGCCAATGGGGTTTTCAGAAACGTTTGGTTAATTTAAACAGAAAAGGGCCAAATATATCCCTCTACTTTTGTTTATTGTTCAATCTCATCCCCGTTATACTTTTCGTTCATATATACCCCTGCCATCCAACAAAGTTTTACATTTACCCTTATTTTAACTGACATGACACGTGGCATCCTTTAAGCACAAGACCTGACCCACAACTTAAAAAACTCATATCCACTTAAAAGTTAAAACCCACGACCAAAGTACCACATTAAAGAATTCGGGTCGCGTTGAACACTTATGCTCTTGAGATTTCTCCGATAAATAGTGATAGTCATTTCCTTCATCTTGTAAGTTTTGGGGGCTGTGAAGGGGAGTAGAGGAGAGAGTGGGGCTAGACAGGGTCGGTTATTGACCGAAAATAATGGAGGATCAATGGCTTTTCCGGTGTGGTGGTCGTTTCCCGGACAGGTAACTGGCAGAAAAGAGGTGGAGGAAACGATGGACGCATAATACCACGTCGTTTTTGAAATTTTCACTCTCAATGGGCTAATCTTCCTCCACTAACGGTCCGATTTTAGAGCCCTGTATACATCGTAATTTCACTGGGCTGCTATTGCTCTTAATTCTCTTGAATGGGGTTTGTTTATTTTATGTAAAGTTTTTGACTTAATTGTTTAATTGGATTGTTTACTTCTTTAACTATCTGTTTGCTAGGTTCATCTGATTTTGATTTAGTCTTTTAGTTCATGATTTGTATTAATTTATTTGAAAAATTGGAAGATTAGTATATTATGTGTTTGATCCTTATTTACTTGCTAAATCTGATACTTTACTTATTGGAAATTACAGTTTCGATCTGATGTTTTTTTAAGGTTGCAGTTCATTATCATTAAAAGATCTTTTACTCGCCCTTTTCCGTATTTTAAAAGATCTTTTTGATCAATGACTCATAATTATTAAGTTTTCAAGGAGTTAGCATGCTAAATTTTGTCGCTACTAGCTTATATATCTATGTTAAAGATAGCAGTGCCCCCGCTATGCTCAAATCCTGGGTCCGCCTCTATATATATATATACACACACTACTACATTAATAGCACAAAATTAACAGCACAAAAGTCATTAGCGAAATGTTGTTCGTCTTTTTTACCTTCTTTAGAGTTCACAATGAACAAAATAATCATTCAACTTTTTTCCTAATATTTGGGAATAACATTTAACAATTTTCCTAATATTTAGGAATAGAAATTTAATTAATTTCCTACTATTTAGAAATTGTAATTTTAATTAATTCCCACTATTTATGCATATTCATTTAATTATTTTTTACTATTTAGAACTTTCATTTTTGAATTCCTTTCGGTCTAGAATTTCAAGTACATTCAATTTATACTAGGAAAGTTTTGTTCATGTTCCACTCCATTCATATGGAAAGAATTAAAAGAAAATACATATGACTTCACGCCATAACAAAAAATGGTTCATGTTTTTAAGTTTTACCCTACCTAGCCTACATTGTACATATTTTGAAAGCACTTGCAAATTCAAAATTTATGTTCTTACGACCATTGCTTCTAAAAGTTATGGAGTTAATTCTTTATTCTCACAACCATTAATTTCACTCTCTCTTCTTCTCACATCTTCTACATATGCTTCAAGGAGCTGTGTATTTTCTGCTTCTCCTCTTGTGTCACCTGCTTGCAATATAAAAAAATTGAAGAGTAGAAGTCCATCATTGAAGACCATTCAAAGCTTTGCTTTTGAAAATGAATTTTTTTGAATTTGTTAGTTGTTTGGATTGGGTGTTGTTCCAATTGATTGAAAATATCAAAAGAAGTTCAAAATTTAAATTTGAAGTGATTTGGAGTAGATTTGAGCAAGATTTGAGTTAAATTTCAGAAAAGACACAAGGAAGAAGACGAACTCAGTTTTTTGTATAATTATATATAATCTTATATAATAGTGTATATGAGTGTAGAAACACACCTTATACACCATCATATACTTTTATACACCTCCTTATACTATTTCTAACAAGTCTAAATAACATCCACTCTATATTTCTCACAAAATCAAATTTGGAATTTAAACCCACATATTTAAGCTTGTTAAAAATCTAATTTTCACCACCCAAATGAATTTGGTTTGTTGAATTAATATTTGATTCATAGTTACTGATTCGAAAATTAATTTAAAAGCTTGAGGAATCTTTTTTAAAAATTAAATAGTAATTTTAAAAACCTATTTGAGTTGGATGTTGAATCTTAGCCTATTATTTTTGGGCTAGTTGGTTGTAAATTGAAATATGGACTATAAAATTGAAAAGTATAGAGATCAATTGTTTTAATGTGAAATTTTTCCATTCATATTTTGGAGTATTAAATTTCTCTTTTTAGGTTAGAAAGATCTTTTTTAGTTAATAAAATTTTGACATATTAATTCACATTACAGAAGTTTCGTTCAATTTTACATCTTGTACTTAGATTTAGTAAAAAAAAACGACCATTTTGAACTTCTTTTCGATTTGGGAGTCTTTATGCTTTAATAAGGTTTTGTTTGTCTATTTGAACTATACACAATTAAGCCTTATATAAATTATCTCTTATTAGAATTAATATGCGACTACTTCTATAAAAAACGCTATGGTTCCATATTTTATTTTAAACCATAAGTTTCAATGTCTTTTTTCGTTTCTAAAACTTAGTGCCAGTCAAAATGCATCACGGCAGGAATGGAGTAATATACAAATAAATAACATATTATAGATATAATAGGAGTAATTTTTGAGACCTAAAGCAACGTTTTAGTTTTGCCGCCGCTCACATATATAGTCTTGATGACTTGTAATATAAGTGATGTAGGATGAAATTATAGTTATTAGGCTGTAATTTCTGTTATTAATCTATATTCGAAAATATATTCAAAAATAAAAAATGCTATAAAAGCAGAAATGCAGAAGAACAAAATTATTCCGAGTTCACTGAATTTTCCTTAAGGAACTTAATCTCCTCCTAGTATCCGAGGTTGTGGATTATTTCCTCCCAGGATAGAACGGATTACCCTCACTGGTATAGCGATACTT